TCATGCATGTAAGTTACCCCACCCCACCTCTTCGTGTCGCGACTCGGATTTCAACAACTTTGTCGTTATGTAACGGTGCAGATGCGCCGAGCTGTGGCTCATGATGATAGTGGCGCCTGTCTTAGGTGATGTTAATCGAGAAGCCTAGCCAGCAAAGTGACTTGGTAGACAAGCTAAATGCTGGAAAGGGGGAATGTTACTTATTCCTGTTTTCGTTATGCATTACCATATGAAAGCGAGCAGCAATACCAGCTTCCGCTAACAAGGTTTTAGAGTTCCGGAAAACATCAGTCAAAATATAGAAAGCACATTGGATGAGGTGCATAAATCAGTGTGAGCTGAAGGCTGGAAGTACGAAAATGTGGTTTTGATACCACAAAATTGAGATTTGGGGTAGATTAGAGGAAGTTGATACGAAAGAGGGGAGGGGAGCAGGGGGAGTGGGCAAACTTGGAGAGATTTGCACTTTGATTCCAGCAAAGGCAAAGGTATACGCACGTTTCCAAGCAAATCAGAGATCACAGCTTTGAGCGGTCCCGAGGAGAAGCTCAAAAATGGTTTTTGGGATGTAGTCGAAAGGTAAATGAATACTAGCAAAATGTGAACACTTTGATATTGCTAAATTTACAAATTGATATTAGGGACATTCAGACATTTTTAATGAAAGGAATGAGTGTCAGATTTTTCCCTGATCTCGAAGGGGCCGCGGACCTTTCCGCATAAATTTTCGAAAAACATTCATTTGGAGGAAAATAAGTAACAGAAAAGCGGAAAGTGGGTTGGAAGGTTGAGATTACTCTCGCTGGGTATACATAAATTTTTAGATTAGATTTTTTTGATAAATATCTAATCTAAAAACCTCAAGAATATGAATAGTGTGGCACAATTTTGAAAAAATAAGGGATTAGGAAAACGTGAAGAACTTTTGAAGGGGACTTTTCGGAAAGAAAGCAAAATATGCTTATGCTGATAAGCCTTCAGGGCAGGGGGGGGGGGGGAGATTGAAAACAGGGGTGGGGATTGCAGCGCAGTGTCACAGAAGAGCTTTTAATTTCTTCCAAAAAGTTTTCCAGATGACTTAGATGGCAAACTAGTCCAAGTTGCACAATCTCAGCAGATTTGGCTATTTTAGACCCAGCAAGCTGATGTTCTAAAGCTGTGTATCTTCCATATGCCAGAATTTGGGGAGCTAAGAACAGCTCTGCTGTATATTTAATTCACCTCAACATGTAAAACCTATAGAAATTTCACTTATTTCCCGTTTTCGCTATTAGTAGATGTTTGCAGACACTCACTTCTTGACTAACCTTAAGTGGCAATGTGCCAAACTTCTACACCATCCCATTTCTACGCACACACACGGCCAGACCGAAGTGCCGCGAAGCGGCACTTCGGTCTGGTGACTTATAATAACGAGCTAAGGGTTGTTTACGTCTTTTTGTGTGTGTGTGTCTGTTCGTTACGAAATTCGTAGAGCGAGTTTTAGCGAATCTCTTGAGCCCAAATTTTGCATAGCGCAAGCTAACATCATGAAAGTCCATTATGTAAAAGCACGAACGGATCCGCTGAATGGATCTCTCAAAAATTGCGCGTCAAACGAATCCACTTGGCTTCTGACCAGTAAAATCGGGCCTGTACCATCATTTTTCGCGATGTCATGGATATGTTTGACAAGCTAATGTGAAAGTCAAGGACTTCAGCCCAAAAAACTAAACTAAAGTTGGCTACTTTACGAAAATGGCCCCAAAAAGAGTTAGTTGCGTAAATGTTTAGTTTGCCAAAAGTTTACCTGATCATCTGAGAAGATTTTTGCACAGAGATGTAGCCCACAATATTCATTGTCCCTATGGCGACTGCCAAGCCATAAAGACTCCAAAAATCTATTCGAATCTGCATCTGTTCTGGAAAAAATCTCATCTATGCGAAAATACCGATCTCACATGAAAAACCTCTAAGAACGAGTAGTTGTTTACGAATAACTCGTGATAGCTACATACCGCGGTGAGTTTTTCAATGTCATTATTATGCTGGAATGACTAAGGCATACAGAAAGTAGGGCCAGCGCGAGCCTCTGCGAAGCAGAGGTGACGTCTCCAAGCAATGCCGAGTATCACGAACAAAATGTTAACAACTACTCATTCCGAAGGCTTTCATGTGAAACCGGTCATCTTTTTGAAACTTTTTGCGGGAGAACAAACGCAAATTTTTATAGATTTTTGATTCTCCCATGGTCTTGACAGTTGCCATAAGAACAGTAGTCACCGTGAGCTACATTTTTGTGCAAAAATCTCGTCAAATGCTCTGGTAAAACCTGGCAAATTAACCATTTGAGCAACCAATACTTTTTGCCGTTGTTTTTGTAAAATGATGGACTTCTGATCACTTTTTTGGGACTGGTCATAGCTTGCACATTCATTCGCCATAAACATCCACCACTCTGCAAAAAGTGGAACTACGGACCCAATTTTGTGGGCCAAATGCAAAGTGGATCCGTTTGACGCGCGATTTCTAAGAGACCCACTCAACGAATCTGCTTGTGCTCTTGCATGCTGCACTTTTATGCGAGTAGCAAGTGCTATGCATTTGAGCTCAGGACGATTGCTGAAACACGCTTTACGAATCTCGTGACAGACAGCATTCAGACAGAAAGACACACAAAAACACGTAAACACTCTTAGCACGTTATTATAGTAGGATATTGCCTTTATCTTATTAATTTATCACAAGCTGCCTTGAAAAAATTTGGAAAAGGAAAAAATTTGGAAAAGTAGCAGATTTGCCTAATTCTGAGTAGAGATACCCCGGGGAGTGATCCCTTTCCCAGCCTCCCCGCGTGCATAGCAGGGATGGCCGCTGGAAATCATTCCCTTGAGGGAATGACGATATGCTAGTAGCTACAGCCTCCATGAAGAGCTGGCACGAGTTGCAGCTTCTGTCATTCATAGAAATTCTGATTTGAGTGCCGCAGCGCCCCCACCTCCCTTTTTTCGGTAGTATAAAAGCACCGTCCACCCAAAATTTCTACCTCCATGTTTTTGCCGTTCCAGGGTCTTCTCATACCCCTGATTCCGAATATCAAGTCGGAAATCCGCGAAAACCACGAAAAAACCCCGTTTCCAGAACCCGCAGAGCGATTTCTTTAGAGCGGTGATTGGTTGGGCGCGCACGGATGGGCGGGACGAACGTCATCCACGTCATCCACTCAAAGGGGAGGAGCCTACATGGCGAATCTGTCATCCGAGCGATTTTCGAAGCAATTTTCTAGCTTCGGGACTTTTGCCAGCGCCAGTTGGATAAGTAAACAGTTGGGGATCCCATTACTGTTAGGCATCAAAATCTCATCGACCCCATTTTGGGTTGACAGTGCCTATAACTTCTTCTACCCATTCACTGCAGAGACATCCTGACTTCTATTGTTGAAGACCTTTACGCTGGAATGGGCAGTATGGGGGAAAGTGACCAACATTCATGAAAACAGCAGGAACCTAATGGGCATAGGAAATATTATTTTTGTTGCGCGGAGGGCAATCACAGCAGACGCGCATATCGCAACGACTAAAGAATTGCCGATGACAAAATAAAAACGACTAGCTGTCGAAAGCTGAGAACGGAGGACAATTACCATAGAAAAGCGGAAGCGAAGTGATTTCCCCGCTCGATCCCCGTTGTGCATAAGGGGGTTCACTTTCCCTACTCCCAGAGGATCCCTTCTCCGATATTGTCTTTGTACATATGGGCGTCTGTGTAGGGAGGGATCCCCAGCGGGATTATTTCAATGGTAAAACGCACATCCCCTCCCCGCGGGGATGTACGTGCATACGGACCTAGATCGTCAGTCCATAAGTTTTTTAAACTACTCTTGCAATCGAAAAAATATGCTGTTTTGACGTTTCTGGGAGAAGTTATGATTTCAAAAAAAAAATTAAATAAATTTGGCGAACTCTTTGATAAACTCAAAAATCAAAACTTTTTGCAGGGTATTCCAAACGGCATATACTTTCTACGATTGCAAAGAGTAGGTCCTAAAATTTATTTGCTGAAAAGTTCGGATTTTTTTGAAACATTTCAGATTTTTGGCGGTCTAATTCAAAATAATTGAAGCTTGAATGATCTTCTTTATCCAATTTATCTCTGCCCCCAGTGTTCGGAAAAACTCGTTAAAAGTACTACAAAGCAGAAGCTTTCTTCTCCCCAATAAAATTACAACGAAGCACATCTGTCCAAGCGACCAGTTACGATTGTTTGAATATGAAATGACAGAAATTCCGGGCCGACGTAATACATTACGGAGATGAACGGAAAGTTTGTGAAGTTTTGAAAAAGGGTCAAGCCGCGTGAAGAGTTATCTAAGACCAGTGCGTCACCCCTTTGCTGTGCAGAGGTTCGCGCTGGCTCCACTGATTGCACTACTTCTCCGCACTCATAATAATGGTTCTGAAACTCACCGCTGATCACCATGAATAAGTTGCAAACAACTACTCATTGTTAAAATTTCCCATGTAACAGTAACCTTGCGAGAAGAAAGTTTCCTCCAAAAAATCATAAGCGAGTTTAAATCATTTACTAAATTCATTAAGGCTTGATAATCGCCCAATAACAATGGCACTGTAAGTTACATCCCTCAGCAAGAATCTTCACAAATTTTTAGGCGAAACCTTGAAAAATCACCATTTCCATTTTCAATTCATCCTTTTTGACGCTAATTTTGCGTACATAGAAAAGTTTTGCTCACATTTTGGGCTGGAGTCCTTGGTTTGTGCTTTTACTTGTTAAGCAAATCAAGGGTTTTGCAAAAACTCCCACAGGCAGACGTAAACAACCCTGAGCCCATTATTATTAGGTTATTCATTGGATAAGAACCGGAGTAAGGGAAGAGCGCAAAACTTTTCAAGCAGGTACATATTTTGTGGCATTTGGCTCTCACTTCCTCTCAGCATAATGATCCAAGACTGGGCAGTACATGGCGTCACACTTCGTTATTGTCATCATTTTGAACAGCGTTAAAATTTTATTTATTCAAGTGATTTCTATTACAACAATACACGAAACATAAGGGTGCGAGTAAACGTAATGAAATAATCACTGCAAAGTTTATATTTGATCAAGTTGTCCATTGGTAGATCATCAATGATTCTTAGTTAGCAGTGTTCAGCAATTTTCGATCGGTGCGTCCACCCTTGCGCGACCTATATCCACAAATTTTGTACGAGATATTTCTTCCAAACTTTGCAATTTGATACCTGAGGACCCTTGTAGAGCGGCTCGCAAGGCGGCAAACATGCTTGGATACCGCGGTGGAGGAAGTTTGGACGTCGGGGCATACCTGAAAAAAAACTTTGAAATCTTCATTTGACACCGACAGATGAAGTAACATAATTATGCGTCACCTCTGCTGCGCAGAGGCTCCCACTGGTTCTACTATCTGAATGCCCTACTCATTCTCGTATAACGACGGCACTGAAACACACCGCGCAATGCCGACTATCACGAATGAAATATAAACAACTGCTCATTTTGAAAGTTCTTTCATATGGAATCGGTGATTTCGCGTGGATGAAACTTTTTGCAGAGGAGAAACGCAAATTTGAATGGGTTTTTGAATTTTCCATTATTTTGGTAGTCACAATAAGGATAATAACCACCTTGAGCTACATCTTTGTGCAAAAATCTTGTTAAATGTTCAGCTAAAACCATGGCAAATTGACTATTCATGCAAACCATTCTTTTGGCGCCGTTATTGTAAAGTAGTAGACTTTTAATCACTTTTTTGGGCTTAAGTCCATTACTTACACATTTACTTGCCAAACACATCTGCGACTCTAAGAAATGCATATACGGACCCAATTTTGCGGGCCAGAAGCCCAGTGGACCCGTTTGACGCACAGTTTATAAGGGATCCACTCAACGCATCCGATCGTAATTTTGCATAGTGGACTTGTATGATGGTAGCTTGCAATATGCAAAATTTGGACCCTAGACGATGATTGGAACACGCTCTACGAATTTCGTAACAGACACACTCACACACATAAAGACACGTAAACACACTTGGCCCGTTATTATATGTAATCAGTGCGTCACCTCTGCTTTGCAGAGGCTCGCACTGGCTCCACTATCTAGGCCCTACTCATTCTCGCACAATGATGGCATTGGAACTCACAGAGCAATGCCGACTATCATGAACAAAATGTAAACAACTACTCATTCCGAAAGCTTTTTTTATGTAAAATCGGTGATATCGCGTGGATGAGACTTTTTGCAGGAAAACAAACGCAAATTTTTATAGGTTTTTGGTTTTCCCGTGGTCTTGAGAGTTGCAATAAGAACAGCAGTCACCGTGAGCTACATCTTTGTGCAAAAATCTCGTCAAATGCTCTGGTAAAAGCTTGGCAAATTGAACATTTGAGCAACCAATACTTTTTGGCGCCGTTTTTGTAAAGTGGACATTTGATCACTTTTTTGGGCCTAAGTTAACGGCTTGCACATTTACTTAGCATAAACATTCACGACTCTACAAAAAGTGGAATTACGGACCCAGTTTTGCGGCCCAAATGCAAAATGGATCCGTTTGACTCGCAGTTTCTAAGAGATCCACTAAACGAATCTGCCGTGCTTTTGCATGTTGGACTTTCATGCGGATAGCATGCACTGCGCAAAATTTGAGCCCAGGAGGTTGACACACACACACACACACACACACACACACACACACACACACACACACACACACACACACACACACACACACACACACACACACACACACACACACACACACACACACACACACACACACACACACACACACACACACACACACACACACACACACACACACACACACACACACACACACACACACACACACACACACACACACACACACACACACACACACACACACACACATACACACACACATACACACACACATACACACACACATACACACACATACACACACACACATACACACACACATACACACACACATACACACACATACACACACACACATACACACACACATACACACACACACATACACACACACACACATACACACACACATGCACACACACATACACACACACATACACACACATACACACACACACATACACACACACACATACACACACACATACACACACATACACACACACACATACACACACACACATACACACACACACCAGTCACGTAAACACCCTTGGCCCGTTATTATAATAAGTAATGACACACCAGTCACGTAAACACCCTTGGCCCGTTATTATAATAAGTAATGATAATATGCTGCTGCATGACGAAGGTGCAATACCTTTGGGCCCGTTTTCAGCCGCAGAGCGCATGAGAAGTAAGATTCAAAACGGTGAAAGTACGCCCGATCAACTGATGCTGCTTTTGCGCCTTCGTCCTGCAATAGCCTTTACTTAAAAGGAGGCCTCTTATGGCCAAGATTCACTTTACCGACATCTCTCCCAACCTTACTTACGAACTTCACACTCAGCTTCTGCATAAAAAAAGCCACTTACCGTTTCGGAGAAGAATGGGACGATGATTGGGAAGCGGATCTGCAAAAATAAACACATTGAAAGTGCCCTTCTTTTGTCGCTAGGTGTGCATATGCCGCTATCCGTCGCTCAGAATTTTTTCGTAAGTGGGGGGGGGGGGGGGAAGAGGGGGGTGGTGAGCAGGCTTGTGAGGAACTTTCCTTCACAAGGTTCTACTAAAAACGCAATAGGTAAGTGAGAAAGTTTAGAGCGTTCAGAAAGAGAGTGGCGTTGAAGGGAAGCATCAGGATCTTGCTACGGAATAAAAACTGACTTTGGTGAATTCGCTTGTTATCAACCCAAAACTCACCGGTTTCTCAAGTTGCTTGGAGGCATTTTGATGTCAGCATCGCTGCAAAACGGAAAACATTGTCAAAATAAAATACTAATGTATCGCTTTCTCACGTCGCTTTTGGAACAGATAATGACCTGATTGAACGTTGACGTTTCCGCTTGCCCTCTTCTTCAAGGAAGTCCTATATCTCTCATAAGTATGCGAATTCTTCATCGCATCAGTTTGAAACGAATTACCTGCATTCCCAAAGCAAGCTGATTGGCTTGCATTCGTTCCAGTTCTCGACGCAGCTGATATACATCACGCACAGGTGGAGGGGTGAATTCAGAAGAACGCGATTTCTTGCCATCTTTGGAGGCAGTATCGGTTGTTTTAGCATAACTTCTGTAACTGCAGACTCTACAGACCAAGTGGCACCATTGGGCATGGGTCGCCCGATTCAGGTTGGAGCGAAAAGCACTGATAAATCTGACACATTGGCCGAAAAGAGAAAACTGCATACACATTTATCCAGAGCTTGGAGTGGATACATAAGCAAATGATTGTCGTTTTGGGAGTAGAAAGCAACGATGTCAGATGTAGCCTAACGCTGAGTTCAGGGATGTCATAGCTTCACCGACAAGGGAATGATGCCAAGTTATTAATGAGTATGTTCTAATGCATAATGTACATTAAAAACTAGTTTGGGAGTGTATAATCGGCACGGTGTCGAGTGGGCTCGCTAGAAGTAATGCACACGTACATCGGCAACAAAAATAAGTGTTTTTGAACAAAATCTTTCTGAATTGTAGGGAGTACCGCAGCAGATATGGAACTGATTTGAAGCTCAGCAAGGCGCATTTAACGACATGCATTTCCTTCCAAATCGCCACGGTGGCCTATATATTTTCCTAGTCAGTAATGCACATCAGGCCATCAGCATTGCCAAATTATTCATACTAAGATTCCGTGAGAGTGTATGTCGCTGCGGCCGTTCTCTGAACTGGATTACAGCACAAAGCAAAGCAAAATTCTCATTTTCTAGGGGTGATTGAGACTTATTCGTTGTTTGTCTTGTTCTTTTCGTTGTTCTTTGCAAAACACAGCTCAATAGTACGGAAAGGTTCCATATCGTTTAGAACACTAAATAACCTAATTGTCACAGTATATGCTATATTCAAGAGAAACTCGCTCAAACTGCGATCAAACAAATGCTGGGAAAAAGCGGAGCAAAATTATGTGGAACCTGTCATAATCATAAGGTGCCCATATTACCAATGGTGATCTCGCCAAGTATCCTTGATATGTAAGAATTTAGCTAAAAACAACAAGGCAAAGCAAATCACTTGTAGCTCTTACAAAATATGCTCACATTGGATATCTAGACGAAATATTTATGAAACAGAGCTGCGTAAAAATACAAGCCTAATGTCAAAAACTATCAATGAAAGACTCACCTTGTCGGTTCCGTACTTCTCGCACCGATAGGCGCCCATGAGCTAGCCTCGGATGTTGTCACCTTCGATGTCACTAATCGCCCAGATGGTGTAGCATTCTTCAAAATGTAAAATAATCGCGGTAAAAGCGGAAAATATGCAGATTTTGTGTCATTCTCTTAAATCTTTCTTATGACAACAATTTTGTGGTATTCGCTATTTTCTCTCATGCTATCGCAAATTTCAGACCGCAGTTGTATTTCGTAAAAAGTGGACAATGGCTCGCGTACGGCGCAAAAAATACTAACAAGTTGTCAGAAATATAATGTCACCTGCTGCTAGGTTAATTTTCTCAAATAGATCTGATCATCTAAGTAAAAAGGTCTTCAAAAATCACTTATTGTGCTTCTTTGAAAACATAATTTTCTGCAAAAAGAACAGTTCTATAGGCATTTATCAATCAGGCGGTGTTGCTGCATGTGTTTAGTAGGAGATAGTAAGGGCCTTTCTTAGGTAGGTTAAAGATAAAAATTACTTTGCCATTAAACTGATTGCGAGCAATATTGGCCATAAGGCTTATTGAATGCAGAGGGGATAGACCATACGACAAAGAATCCAAGTAGATGTGCTTATGAATGTCTTTCTTTAGAAACATATAACTCTGCAAATGTCTCATTTACCTGTTCCACATTTCTGGAAATACTCCTTTGAGCTGTCCAGTATGGGAAGAATGGTGCGGTTGGACGCATTTCGGATACCCTCTTTGGACTCACTGAAAGCGTTTATGACTTAGCTCCTTCTGAGCGTTAAAAGGAAATCCTGACTCAAGCAGTAGTGCTCTAAGGCCCGTATGCACGTACATCCCCGCGGGGAGGGGATGTGCGCTTAACCATTGAAATGATCCCCGCTGGGGATCCCCTCCCCTCCCCGCGCGAACCCCCTTATGCATAAAGACAATATCGGACAAGGGATCCCCTGTGGGGAGTGGAAGTGAACCCTGTTATGCACAAGAGGGGATCAAGCGGGGAAATCACCTTGCTTTCAAATTTTCTATGAAAAACACTTTCTTATTTCATATTTTGACTGCAACTCATCTTCATCTCCTCACTTTCATTAATTTAGAGTTGCGGAATGCGCGTATGCAGTGACTAGGCTCGGGGCACTAAAAATGATTTTTTGTACTCCCATTATGTTCCTGCTTTCTTGGATGCTGCCCACTTTCGCTCGTGCTGCTCCATTTCAGCGTAAAAATGTTGAACTATAGAAGTTGATGTGTCTCTGCAAGGGAATGGGTAGAAGACGTTATGCCGCCGAAAAGGGGGGGGGGTGCCGCGCGGACGCTCAAAGCAGTATTCTAACACATAACAGAAGCTGCAAATTGTGCCAGCTCTCCATAAACGCTGTAGCTATCAGCTGCATATCGTCCTTTGTCCCAGGGGAATGATCCCCAGCAGCGATCCCTGCTATGCACAAGGGGAACGCTGGGGAGGGGATCACTCCCCAGGGAATTTCTACTCAGAAATAGGCAAATATGCTACTTTCTAGATTTTTTCGAGGCAGCATATGTTAAAATAACAAGATAATGGCAACATGTCATGAAATATGAAAGTTACAATGTGTTTACTCAGCCTATATAGTTAAAACTATTATGTTATATGAAAAATGCGCAAATTTCCTGAATGATCAAGAACTCCTACAAATAATCGAAATTGGCAGCTATTGTTGCTCGGATTTCTTCTTGAGAGGCGAATATAGAAAAGAAAGAAAAATCGCAAGCCACAGGTCGCTGAGAGAAGAACCCGGGTTTCAAAGAAAATTCTCCATCAAAATGAACGAAATGCTTGGTAATGACTGAGCAGAACCAGAATATCCGCGTCTCTGGCATGATCTACACCATCGAACTCCTACTTCGTTGCAGGGGATGCCGATCCCCTCCCCCGCGTTAATGAATTGAATTCGCGCATACGGGGTTCGAGTGGGGGAAGGGAAGGGATTCCCTCCCCCATTCGAACCCCGTATGCACTGGGGTTCGCTCGATCAATACCTCTGAAACCATTCACACCATCCCCGCTTAGGTGCAGGGGAGGGGATCGCTCCCCTCCCCTCTGTCATGGCGGGGTTCGGCGGAGGGGATCGTTCCCCTGGGGATCCAGCTCCCCTCCCCTCCCCAGCGGGGACGTACGTGCATACGGGCCTAATACGATGTCCGATGTAAGCGAGCTGGAAAAGAACTTGCCGTCAATAATATGAACTGCTCCTTGACGTTTTACAATATGCTTCTCCTGTTTGACTCTTCTCTCCTGTTTTCCTCGTTTTTTGGCTACATCCGCAGCGAGTTGATCAGATGACGATGATGTCACTCCAACTTCACTGCTTCTTCTATAAGATTACGTTTTTGAGTGAATTGAAAAATCTATGTGGTACCTTCTCTGCGCAGATGTCTTGGGAGAATTTCTTTCAGTGCCCGTAGTTGTTTCCGACTCGATCTGACATAGCCACTTGTATGAAAAAAGCTGTGCTATTGGTGACTTCATAGTTAATGTAAAAATGTGCTCCATTGAATATTGAATGGATGAGATGACCACAGGCCATTTGAGACGGTTTTGCAAAATTCTTTTTGAGACATTTTCAAGCCCAATCTTTTGATTCGCTAAATTAAATTATTATGTTGGCTTGAAAGTTATGGGACATTTTCGAACTAGATCTGTTATTTCTCGAAACCTAATGCATGTACATCCAAGAGAGCACCATTTGATAGAGCAAAGCAAGCTCTACAAGATGGTATGCAAAAGTTCGCACCAGCTTCGACCCACCGTAAGTTTGCACCCAAAATATGAGTTGTACTGAAATTCAAAAAATCGCGAAAAAATTCATATCCTTGTTCGAACAAATTCTACAAATCTCCAACTCTCACAAAAATTGCACACCACATCAGATACTCATTTGCACCGTTCCTGGATTTTTTACCCATCTATAAATCAAGAAAACAAAAATGTTCAAGCTTATAGTAAAACGAAGCTACGTTGTTCCCACTCAAGTAATGTAAGTACAAGCCAATAGAAGTATAACCTTGATTCCAGCTTTCTACAGGCCCTGGTTCCCGAAAATTACCGAACTGAGCTCTCCTCTCTCGGGTGTTCCATGTTGAAATCAATATTTTTCGACAGCTAGGGCTTACGAAAAGCTGAAAATTTACGGTTATACTTCTAAGGGATTGTACTACTCAACCACGTGGGTGGAAACAGCACAGCTTCGTTTTTGTAAATACTTGCAAATTTTCGTTTTCTCGATTTCTAGATGAGGACAAAACTCAGGAACGGTACTTATGATTGTCTAATGTAGTGTGCAACTTTTGTGAGCAAGTTGAAAATCCGTAGGGTTTGTTTGAACAAAGATAGGGATTTTTCGCGACTTTTTGAACTTATGGTGGGTCGAAGCTGGTGCGAACTTCTGCATACCATCTTGTAGAGCTTGCTTTGCTCCATCGAATGGTACCTCTTTCGGATGTACATGCATTAGGTTTCGAGAGATAGCAGATTTAGTTCGAAAATGTCCCAGAACTTTCGAGCCAACCTAATAAATTACTACATATTTGCTGTGATTCTTTTTACCTTGGCCTTTTTTGAGCACCATTATCAACTGTAGAAGTCTGGTCAGCAGGTAGCGAGTGTGATCCAATTTGTATTACTGGCTAGACTTTGTGTTGTTTTGTTCTTTCTTTTTAATGGCGCATCTTGAGTGCATATAATAAATAAATAAATGTGGACACTATGTGGACACTAACAAAAATATTAGGTTGAAAACTAGATTTGCAACTGCTTTCAAAATTTAATTCTCTTACATGGTGCACTCAAACCTTAGCTATACGCAGATCTCTAGGTGTGCTACAATTCTGCACAAACTGTTTAATTTTTGAAAATGAAAAAAATACAAGTATTCAGAGAATACTAAACTTCGAGGATTTATGAGTTTACGAGCAAAATGTATCCGTTCGCGACCCAAATCATGCATAAGTGAATTATTCACAGTCGACTCATTGGCACAGTAGAAAACTGGTAAAATCACAGTCGACTCATTGGCACAGTAGAAAACTAGTAAAATTGAAAGACAAGTCGAAATCTAGCGCCCTCAAGAAGTTGAAATACGCAAGCCTGGTGGGAACAACCATTGAAACTAAGGAGTGGCGACGTCATAATCTGTAGAGACTTCACATATTGAGGTTTTTCGACTTGCTAAACACAAATAGCATGTTCTTCTACTGAATTAACGTCTTTTTTTATTGTTTAGCATGACATCCCATACCGCAAAGCTACAGTAATCTTACAAAAAAGTAATCCCTCACCATGCAAATTCAGTATGTTATTCGTGATCAGCATGTCGGGTAATCCCCTAGGCCAAGTTACAACCAAATCCTTAATGATTTATGATTTTTCCCTTTATACCATATACCTACCGTAATTCCCACTGCGAAGTCAGAATTTGGCGGAACAGCAGCTATGCTTGTAGCTCCCGTCAGAACCTACACATTGGCAAAATTTGAGTGCTTCATATCAAACGAGAGCAAGATTATTTAGTGAGTTGCAAAACTTGATTTCCAGCCTTAAATTAGAGGCACTACTCTCTAAGAATTGGAGCTTGTGGTTACTTTTTACAGCAAAGGTTCTTTAAAAGGCATAAAGAAGGTATAAATTCCGTATACATAGTTCACCTGATGATGCACAATTGATATATTAAGTGCATCGTGTGCGGAACTTGGAATTCGCAATTGCAGAATATGCTTGCACGTGGTGAACTCTATTAGGTTCAGAAACTTACAGCAGAGCCTTTCATGGGAACACTAGAAGGATCTGCACTTTTACTGCATTGCGGACCAATAATGTCGCTTGCGCTGTCTTCAAATCTGCAATGAGCCTCGCAGCCTTGTTTCTATGCAGAAAAGAAAGTAACCCTTTTTGCCGTCTGAGGTGAGCACAATTCCTGATACAGGTGGACGTTCCTCTTTGACTTCAGAGTGTTTCGCTATAGTGTGTACTGTGGCTGCCACGTCTCTTGCTCCAATGTGGATAGGTTTGTCATGCTGAAATGGTTCTATCAATAGTTTAAAGTGTTTCAGACATGGAAATGCTTCTAAGACAGCTAAACAGAGTCTATTTGAGCCGGTATCTGGTATAGTAGACGTCATCCGTCTATCACCTCGGTGCGATGTGTGTTACTGCACACAATTTTGAAATTCCGGATGAGGTGCGAGGTTCCCGCCGTGCCGTACTTGCACCAGGTGCACGGCTAAAATTCGACGCCAAATTCTGCCCGTTTTTCTTATTTCGGTTTTTTTTCTTGTTTTTAGCGGCACGCACGTCTAGTTTTCGATGATTTGTTACCTTTATAACGTGCATTGTCGTTTTAGATCGCATATTTCAAAATTTTTCACTTTTGCTTTCAGGTAAGGGAGGCAAATGGGCATCCTGCAAGATTGCAAGGTAAGTGTGCTTTCTTCAGTATTGTCGGATGTAGAAAGAGTAAAGTGTCTCTTAGGCAACGCGAGTTTCAGCTTCCTTCTGATTGATATCGAAAATTTTGTTTTTTTGTGCCGATTTTTCAATGAGAAGCTATTTTCAAACACAGGATTGCTTCAAGCGGAAACTTTTACTCTTGATGCGATGCTTGTGAGCTGCATGGATCTTATTCAGCATCGCAAAGATATACGGATGGATGGTAAGTTAAGTGCGAATCCCCTTCTTTCTTTTGATATGTCCTGTTCGCTCATCTCCTCGGTTGTCTGGCTGTAGTATGTTTGATCGGCTCTCAGATCCTTGTGGAGGCGGGTTGTTAACCTTTCCTGATTTCAAAAATAAACTTGTTGGAACTCCACGTCATAGCATTGTTTTTCGTATTCTCTCGCCTCGCTACGCTTTGAGTTGGCAAAATCCCGCCTTTACACGAATCGTGGATTCGATGATACAGGGACTTTCAACCTGAGTGTCACGGCCGGCGCCGCTCTTGAGTCGCCTCGCGCCTTCTCGCCCGTTCACTCTCAGCGGATACGGTGAGGGCCAACGACAAAGCAACAACATACGGTGCGGGCCCACGACAAAACAACGGCAGCAACAACAAAGCAAATGACAACAACAACACACATGCAACGACAAAGTCTTGCCGACCGTGACACCCAGGTTGAAAGCCCCTGTACAATGAAAATCTGTAGCTGCGACTGCGAGCTGGTTTGGCCGCAACGCTATGGCGAAAGAAGAAGGAACAAGGAAAGATGAAATTTAAAAAAAACTGAATGTGATAGCAAAAGAATCGAGAAGGTACGAGCAAAACAGAAAAAGTTATAAATGAACGTAAAATACTTAACTTACTATCATCTAGCGTCTCTGCAATACTACTGTCGAATTCGGAAAAAGCTTCTCATTGAAAATTCGGCACAAAAAAAAATTTTCGATATCAGTCAGAAGGAAGTTGAAACTCGCATTGCCTAAGAGACACTCTACTCTTTCTACATCCGACAATACTGAAGAAAGCCACCCCTGAAATCTTGCAGGATTGCCCATTTGCCTCCCTTACCTGAAAGCAAAAGTGAAAAATTTTGAAATATGCGATCTAAAACGACAATGCACCTTATAAAGTTAACAAATCATCGAAAACTAGACGTGCGTGCCGCTAAAAATAAGAAAAAAAACCGAAATAAGAAAAACGGGCAGATCGAATTTTAGCCGTACGTGCACCCGGTGCAAGTACAGCACGGCGGGAACCTCGCACCTCATCCGGAATTTCGAAATTGTGTGCAGTAACACACATCGCACCGAGGTGACTAGACGGTTGACGTTTACTATATATGTCAGCTCACTGCCCAGTAAACACTTTTGCCTTTTTGGTGCCCTGTTTTTGATGCTATTCCAGATTTTTGCAAAAAGAAAAGGTGGGATTCTGAAGCTCCCTGCTTTGTAGTTGACATCAAACCACTCAAGGCTTATGACTTCTGTAAAAATTTTGGAAAACTCATTTGAAAGGAATATCTCGTCAAGTGGCATTAGGGTATTACCCATCTAAAGAGTAAAATTTTTTGCCACGCTTTTTGCATGTTCTTCCTACTATTAAATAATTATCTCTTATTTCGTATACAGACCAACTTTGGTGTCACACAGTCAAATGTGCATTGCATCTCTTACTCCTACACTCGTATTTGTTTCGTGTTAAATGTCATACCTTTTTGAAATTCGTTATCTTTTCGATCTGTTCTCTATTCAAAAATTGTCTAATACTTTCTGAAGTGGCTTTTGAACATCTTTTTCTGAATCTTCAAAGATTTACGTTGCTTTTTTAGCAGAGAAAAGAATAACGGTTTCCTGCAGGCGATCCTACTAGAAATAGAAGACACAAAGCTCAGGCTTCAATACCTCTTTCAATTGCTTGCAAGTTATCCAGCATCAGCCTCAACTTTGAACCAATGTGAACCAATCAAATCAATGAGGAAGCTGCCGCTGCATAATGAAGTATGATTTATTTCAAGCAAGTTCTTCAGAAACGTTATGAGGCCTCGTCATAAAGTCTCGCAGTGAAAGCCTATCCGCAGAGAAAATCCGACAGAAGAATAAGTCCCTTGCAAATAAGACCGCCTGACGAGGAAAAACGAGAAAGATGCTGGGCCTTACAGATAGGTCCACCTGTATTGAGCGCGGGCAAGCGCGAACTGTGAGTACAATAGACGCTCATGCGACCATTCAAGCCGAGTGGAAATATTAAATGATTTGAAATGAAGCCGCAGATACCGCCTACGAAAGGCGACTGCTTGAAAATTATGAAATAGTTAGCAGAGTAGCTGACTACAGCATTGCGGGACTGTGACCGCATAAGCTGGAAATAGGAATTCTTCCTCTTGAATTTGTTGTCTCTTTTTCATATTTCCATCGTAGCCTTTACACAAGGTATTTAGGTAACTGGACGTCTCGATGGCTATTGGAGGGTAATTCTATGCCGCGACATAGCTTGACGCGTTTTCTTCAGAACGTGGAACTTTAACTGCAGCTCCGCCATTTCGGAGTAGATAAAAGTTTGTCAAAGATGGAAAGCTGTAAAGGAAAATCTGAGAAAAAACTGGTGGAGATCGACGAAGCTGTGTATTCATGGATTGTGCAGAGGCGTGAGGCAAGAAGAGGTGTGTTGAGGAGAACATCAAGAGCAACGGCTTTACAGCTAGCAGAGGAATCTGGTCAGCATAATTTCATTGCCTCGTGGTGCAATTCCTCTATTGAAATAAGGAACTTGGCTGCTCAAAAGTATCAAAATTTGTTATATAAAATTTCAGGCGAATGAGCACGGGAAAAATGACAGTTCAGTTCATTTTTCGCCTTGGTTTTTGTGGCTGAGCATCCTTCTCTTCTTTTTAAGAAAACAACTGACTCACTGTACGGAATTATGTGTTAATGAGCGGACTTATCTGCAGAAATGATTTATCTGCAATTCGATAACGCAAGCGTGCATTTTCTTTGCTTTCTTGGCAAAAAGCGGGGCATATTGGCAGGGTTTGAAATATTTGTAAAAGCAATTCATTTTTTACATGCAGTAGTGTCAAATGGAATCTTTTCAATGAAACTTATAATGAGATGTTCGTAGATACATAACAGCTCCAGTGAGTTACGGAAACATCAGATTGCTCCACAATTATCTTTGTTAGGGTTCGTGAGTTATAGACACACCTAACACCCTCTTTTGGAGATTTCATAAAATTTACCCTCTTTTATGACGATCATGTGGAAGTCTCGACAAAGCTTTTCCGCGTGTTTTACTCACCGCACTACCCAATTCGTGCGCATTAGCTCCAGAACCTGCTTGCGGAGGTACAAGTATTTGTTGTGAGCTTGACAGCGGTGTCCTCCCAGTGAATAAATGTGGCATGAGATCTTTACTGAAAAATCACAAATTGTTCTTATCGCCACATGCTGATTATCTCAATATCAAACCTTATTTCGGCACTGCCCGATCCCTCCTTACTTCCTTTAAGACTCGAGGGCTTCTTTGGAGCAAGTAGTTGCTGAGTGCTTGAAAGAGGTGTTGCGCCAGTAAACATGGGAGGATTTAAACTTTTTCTGAACAAAGATTTGAATTAAATTGTGTTTAAAAGTCGTATCCTGGAGGAAAAAACATGCACAGCCATTCTGTTTTCTAACTTTGAATGAAAGTATGCTGCCTAAACTCGTATACCGAGTCCGCTTACCCAGGTGAGGCTAAATTAGGACTTTGCGGCACTTCCATTTTATCAGATCCTATTCCTGCTAGATTCTGACTTCCACGCTGATCCGATATCACCTAAAAATGAAGTTTAACACAGCTTTGATACTTATTTGAAAAAGACCCCTCGCTGGGTACTATCCATAGGAGGAAGGCGAGTATCGTTATCATGATGCTCATGGTCCGGACATGGGAGGAAAACCCGCTTTTGAATTGCTGAAAATAAGCTTGGTAGTAGGCTCTTTTTGTTGACCAGAAAACTGTCTTCATTCAGACAAAAAAGCTTTCAAACATACGCCGAAGAGCAATTTCTTTTAATCTCAATTCGTTTTCCTTTTGTCGATCATCTTTCTTCCTGTATTTTTCTCGCACATCTTCTGTCTTTTTTCTTATACGTCTTTTATATAACTAAAGTACATGGTCTCGTTAAGGTTTACAAACATTTAACTGCGACCCACCCATCTTATAAAAAGCATAGTAAAGCAACAGCATAGTAATGTTGCAATAGTGAATATGAAAAGAACAACGATCATCCATAATACCGACGTCGTAGGGACGCAGCATCCTAAAGATCATTCATGGTTCACTCAACCTCAAACTGAAGCACATGAGCAAATTTTTGATCCTATTTCACAACTTCTTCCTTCCATAGAATTCTTCAGTAAAATCTGTACCCTCATTTATAGCTGCAAGAGTGAGCTTCAGCGGAAATTATTTACCGAGACGTATGCGTGAAAGTCCTCACCAATAATGAAGCACGGTCTCTACGTCAATGAGTACCGAATAAATTCGAAAATGAATAATTTCGGATAAACGAATCTTATATAAAAGGCTGAATGTCTGTTTGTCTGTCTGTATGTCTGTCTGTTTGTCTGTATGTATGTGTGTACGTATGTTCCTAATAGAAAATCCCATTTCTGAATCGATCCGGACCGAACTTGGCACACATACACTTCGGGCCCCGGCGGGTGTCATAGGCTACTTTTCGTCATCGATCGATATCGATTTTATCGATTTTTTTGCAAAATTTAAGCTACGCGGCTGGGAGTTGGCACAGGGGGGTAATCGAGGATGCTGATTACGAATATAATAATGACAGGGCCGGGCGGAGCCGGGTAAGTCAACTAGTATCGAATAAACTTGAAAATAAAAAATCTCGAATAAACGAATATCGAAAAAATTCGAGATTTAAAAATTCTCGAATGAATGAATCCCGAATAAAATCAGAAAATCGAATATCGAATGAATGAATATCGATTATATTCAAACACCAGGTGTCGAATTTCTAATTTCGAATGATTTATCGAATAACTGGAGCAACCATATCTAAAATTTGCTGACATATTCGGCTAAAGCCGATCCATTCATAATCAGCATCCTCATATCCCCTATACCAACTCCCAGCTCAAGATTTTGCAAAACTCGGTGAAAATCAGCATCCTCATTTACCCCCTGTACCAACTCCCAGCCTCATAGCTCAAAGTTCTTCAAAAAACGATAAAAGCTTTAAAGTAAATTTTTATTCATAATCAGCAGCTCCACTTACCCTACCAGCTCTCAGCCCCGTAGCTTTTTCCAAGATTCGATAAAATTGGACGGTTGGCAACAAGTCTATACATCAACAAAAGGTCGTATCGTATTTTACTTCCCATCATCTATCGAACAAAACTTTATTGCAAAGTGATATGACTACAAAATTCAGCACAACCGTATGATAACCGTATAATTCTCCATTACAGCTGCGATGTCCTTTACTCAGAATACAACAATTCGCGAAATTTCTAGCAAAGAATAGAGGCAGTTGTGCCACATGAGTTTTCAAGCAAGTGCACTAGTGTGGACCTTTGCGTACCAAAAGCATGAGCAGTGTAAAGGAGGAAAAACTGGCTTGTCAACACCTACTATATGAACTCGGAATATGAATTAGGACTTGATAGCGGGCTTTTTTTGCTGATTTGGTGCCAACAGCAGTGCAAACTATCTCATTGATCGTAGCGCATCAATTGAAATTCGGTATGATTCGGATGCAAATTCGAATGAAACTCGAATAAAACATTCGAATAACATCTATTTGGAACCTCGTTTTTGATTAGTCGAGTTTTCGAATTGTGCTCACTTCCGTGTTTTTTATTATTCGAGTTTTGAATTTTATTCGAAATTCCGTTTTCTCAATTATTCGGGTTTCGAATATTATTCGAAAATGGAAGAACTCCGAATATCGAGTTTCGAATGCGAATATATTCGAACGTTTTATTCGAATGACGAATTTCTATTCGATTCGGATGCAAGTATAGGCTTAAACAACCGGGTCCCGTTGATCCTAAGTCAAGCACCAGTTTCATCGCCTTTCTAGGTCATCGCATTCGCACTTTTGGAGTTGGGGGGAAAGGAATAGTAGAACAGATGATAATTCAAGGCCTATCTGTAAGGGCCAAATTGCCATTTCTAAGCAATACGAGACAAGTTGTGAGGGTTGTTTCAGTTTGGTTTTGCAGTAAACCCCAAAAACAAAGATGTTTTAACTTGAATGCTCCAATTTGCACACCTAAAAGTGACATCAAACATCATCCACGACAGCAGACCATCAATTGTCTTTTCTAGCTTAGTTAGTTTCAACCTTATTCCTGGTTCAATTGATAAAAATTCTCAAAACCGAGATAAACCCGTTGCTACACTGCCTCTGTATGGAGTGTGTGCAAGGGAAGGATGTGGCAGTACGGGAAATATGTGTACAACATCGTTAACACGATGATCCTATACACATCTTTGACGAGAAGCGCCTATTTAGAGTGTAGAAACACAAAAATGGATATAAAACTTGCGGATTTTTCTTATTGGAGCAAAAATATGAGTCAAACACCAGTTTGGCCAGTCACAATGAGGGCAGCCAATCAAAATATTCTGTACGGATTTCGTGCCCATAGAGATTTTGATTGAGCTAACAAGTCTGTGTTTTGTAATTACAGTACACGCATGTACTCAATGGTATTTTACGTTCAGTGCTCTTATACAGGGTGTCCCAAAAAAATGTATCGAACGTTTGATCGTTAATATCTTCTTCTAAAGAATCCTTTTTCCCTTACTTCAGGTACCAATCTGTAGAGCTGCCTTCAACTTAGATTTGCATTACAGAAAGAATCACCCATCTCTCTTCATTACTGTAGGATTACGGTAGAAACTTCAACGAGGGTTTAAGCAAGAAAGGCCATATTTTGCGCCAAAAAGGAAACAAAACAGCTTGAAAATTTTTACACTAGGCTAATTAGAGTTGCTGATTATAACTGTAAAGTTCCCAATTTATTATGATGCTTCATTGAAGAGTTATGCCAGGTAAGAGGTAGCGGCCATTTTTTCAGTGTTCCTAAAAAGTGCGGTCACACCCTTTAGAAAGCTTCGTAATCTTGTGAATAGTTGAGTATTGAACTCAGCGTCCATAAAAACCCCAATACACAAGTTTTCACATCTTTTTGAAAAATTTTGAAAAGGCAGCTTTTTCCACATTGGCACCATATGTTTCAAGTTTCTACCGTAATCCTACAGTAATGAAGAGAGATGGGTGATTCTTTCTATAATGCAAATCTAAGTTGAAGCCAGCTCTACAAAACGGTACCTGAAGCAAGGCAAAAGACTTCTTGGGAAGATAGATATCAACGATCAAACGTTCGATACATTTTTTGGGACACCCTGTAGTTTGCCCATCAATGATAGAAGACTATGTGATACGACAAGCATGATCCTTTGCAATATTCTTTATCTATTTGTGTGAATCTACAAAAAACAAATTTTTGCAAGTAAACATATAAAGCTAAAAATCTCTCCACTATAAATGAGCCAGGTGGCGGTCACCATAGGCTATTCATTTTTCGCGACATCATTAAGCCCTCTCGATTTACTGACTTGCTTGTTTGCATGTTGGCACATGAAAACTTATCAATCATAATTGAACTTTTTTCCGTAATCATAAGGAGCTGTAAAGCTCATTTACATTTCACATAAGAGGAATGCGCTGTAGCGAAGCGAGGCAGCCAAGGAGGAAGACATCTGTCGGAGCAGGAGTAGGAAGGGCAACGAAGAGACAGTGAGAGGATGAAGTATAATGGAAGAAACGAAGCGAGTTGAGTTTGTACAAAGTTCCAATCAAATATCGGTTTGCACCATTCACCTTGTCGATTCAGGTGCACGGTCCCGCTGGATCGGAAGCGTAGGCAAGTGTAAGAAGAATATCAATCATTTTATATGAAAAATTCGTAAGGTACACTATGCATTTTTTGTAGAGAAGGACTCTTGAGCATCCTTCCCTTCTCTAAAGCATTGCTGCAGGACCTTGGTATGTGCGTTTGGACGGGTCCTCTAGTTCTTTGGTGATATAAAAGAGGCATTCACTTTATGATTTGTTACGTTCGTTTTTTGTGTTTGTTTTTTGTTTCTAGTTTCGAAGCCCACATTTTCGGAAAAGGACTATTGCGGCAAGTTTTCCTTGAACACGTGTGCGAAGCAATTCAGCCGCAAAATGCAGAACTGTGCTTCGTTTTAGGTATGTATTATGTCTCCGGCTGCCATAAAAGCCCGTATCTCCACTTAAAAGACCTTATTAGGACATCATAAATTTTCGTCTTTTCTCCCAGCTTCGTTCGCTCACATTGGCATCTCCAGTGGAGGCAAGTATCCGTGAGAGTTGCCCCATTTTAGACCCATTCTTTTTTTGTAAGATTTTCATAATTTTAACAGCATCTTCATCCAAGAGCTTGTCTTCTTCGTTCCACTGCTACCATTCTTGACAGCCTATCCTCAATAGTCGCTGAGTTATGAGCGTTTGAAGTTTTCTTTTTTTACGAAAACGTCATTTGTTGGGGCTACGGTTTAAACGGTAGGGGGTCAAAATGAATATTGCTAAACTTGTTCTAAGGAGTTTTATGACCTGTTGATCGCAAGTATCATACTTCTGGATTCTCGGGTCTATTAATGGGATCGCGGTGGGTATGAGGTATGTGGTCGGAAATGTAATCATGCTCCAAACTACATCTATGGGTTATTTAGCCCGCTGAATATCATACAGTTTCTCAAAATAGCGCCATTTTCTCAGCACCAATTTCGGTATGTGCACGTTTTATGTTTGCTCGCGGCATCAATGCCTTGTTGTGGAATTACGGTAATTTGTGGCGTATGGAGGGACATTTCTTTCGTTTTTCGGGTTATTTAGATCACAAAAATTTACTTAGAGGCTTTATCAGATAAGAACGTGATAAGAACGATTTTCTTGGCCAGCAGGACAAATGATTTTTAGGCAATTGTATGAATTTTTGACCTCATACCATACATTAACCATAACTCCATAAAAGTCCCAAAAGTATGATGCCTGTGATCAGCATGTAGAGTGACCCTTCTAGACCGAATTCCACCCAAGCTTAAGATTTTGTCTGCCTACCGTAAACATACCATAATTTTATGAAAGGGCAGGATGCATAAAATATAATATAGAATGCAAAAAGAACACGATAGTTGCAACCAGCATGTCGAATAACATCCTTAAGCCACGTTCCAGCTAAATTCATGATTTCGACCCCCTACCATATACCCACCGTAGCCCCAAAAAGAGCTACCGCACAGAAATGATGGTTAATCGGCTTTGGCAGACCCCCCCCCCTCCCTAGACCATATTTGAGCAGGATCACTTCAAAATTCGGGCCCGGTACTAAAATAGCTCCGTTTGAACTAATACGTCAGCATGCCATCAATATTAGAGTCGGGCTTAAGCTTGGAGTTTATGGAAACTTTGGTGAGTTGGCCAGTGAACCCTTGAAAAAAGAATATTGTCACAGAAGAATGGTGGAGGTAGCGGTGGGAACCTTCTCAATGCAGTGAATGGAAAGGGAAGGAGGGAGGAATTTCGGTAAGGATACTGAGTTTTGGCACTGCAAAGTGTTAGGAAACTGTCAGCATCCATAACTTGAGAAAAAAAATCCGAGAAAGAAGCTTTGGGGTTTTGGTACGGAAAAGTTGAGAGGAACGCTTTAAGGCGAAAATACTTTGAAAGAGGAGGAGAATACTGTTAATTTGGCGAGTAAGATTTGAGAAAAGGGGATTTGGGAGATGGGATAGCTTTTTGAGTAATGAAGAAAGAGAGGATAACCTTGATTTGGTCCAAAGGGAGAGCTCAATGCATTTTCGCTTAGAAAATTGAACAAAAGAAAGGTTTTAAGGCTAGATGGAGAACGGAGTTAGGCGCCTCTAGCTTTGACAGAAAGCAGCTAGCGAATGAATTTACACCGAAAGGAATACACAATCCATTAGCTAAGAAAAGTTACAGGAAGTTGGGCCACGGAAGGGATGTTTCACGAGGAGGAAAAGCCTGGTATTCATTTCATATAGAAGAATCGTAAGGTACACTACGCATTTTTGCATTGCGCTTCACTGAATGCGACATCTAAGAGATTCTCTATTAAACTAAGCGATCTTCTACAGAAATCGTACTCGTCATTTAAACTTATGCGCATCATGCGTTTCCAGCAGAATTTTCTAATCAAAACATTAATAAACGAGGTTTATGAACTTTTACGGCATCGAAAAATTGTTATGCGAGGTAATGGTTGACCCAATATGATGTTTCTCGCACCTAATAGCCATCGGGCCGACTAGCTGGCAAGAAAGGACTCACCATGTCTAAACCATATAAAAGAGGATTTGGACCAAGATTGTTCTTCTAAAATATTATAACATGTATGTTTGGCACAATAACAACGTTTCCTTCCAAAGTGTGCAACTTACTGTTATAATCGTCGGGTGAAGACATTCAATCTGCAAATAATATCCACATTTGCTTCACGGCTAACATAGAACAACTGCTCATGGCAGACATACCTCTACAAACAAAAACTGAAAATGGCACGTACTCGTTTAGCAATTGATGTAGCAAATCAGTGATACTCATAGCAATCTCCTCAATCTCTTTTGGAGGCGCCAGACTAGGGTAGGCGGATCAGAGATGGTGCATAGGGCGATTCGCACGACCGTAAAGGGCCGGACATCATGACTTATAATAACGGGCTAAGGGTGTTTACGTGTTTTTGTGTGTGTGTCTGTCTCTCTGTCTGTCTGTAACGAAATTCACAGAACGAGTCGCAGACAAGGTCTCAAGCCGCAATTTTTTGCACAACATGCACTGCCACCATCCTGATCCAACATGCCAAAGCACGAGCAGATCCATTGAGTAGGACCCTCAAAAATCGCATCCCAAACGGATCCACTTAACGTCTGGCGCGCAATATCGGGTCTGTATTACCACTTATTGCAAAGTCTAATTGTGTTTGACAAGTGAATGTGCAAGCCATGATCTTCAGCCCGAAAAAGTGGTGGAAGTCTACTACTCCACGAAAAAGGCGTCAAAACGAATTATTTGCGTAAATGGTCAATTTGCCAGTTTTTACCTGAGCATTTGAGAAGATTTTTGCGCAGGGATGTAGCTCACAGTGGATATTATCCTTATGGCGACTACCAAGCCATGTAAAAATTCAAAAGCGTTCTAATTCTGTATTTTTTCTTCATCTTCTAAAGTTTCATCCACGCAAAATACCGATCTCACACGAAAAGCTTACGGAATGAGTAGTTGTTTACGATTCATTCGTGAAGGTGGGTATTGCGAGGTGTGTTTTAATGTCATGTTATGCGGGAATGAGTATGGCATATAGATAGAAGAGCCAGTGCAAACCTCTGCGAAGCGGATTGACGCACTGGTACATACATATACAGTCAAGTACATTTTCCGGTTAATATAGTGTGCTTGCACAGAAGGTGAAATGCGGTAAAATTTGCGCGTGAAGAAATAGCTTCCACTGTGACGCCGGCCATTTGCGCGCGCAAAATGCGAGCATTACTGACTTGGCTATTTCTTCACGCGCAAATTTTAATCGCATTTTACCTTCTGTGCAAGCACACTATATTAAGCGGAAAATCTACTCGAATGTACATCACCCAATTTTGTCGCCTCGCGATAGTTAAATCAAAGTCGAATGTTTGTTTAAAGCGTGCACTGAGCGTGATCATTGTAGAGGCACATTCTATATAGACGGGGAGACGGTCGTTTCGCACGGGCGATCTCAAGCGCCACCCTGATTTTGCCTTGTCTGAACACGTCACGCACGCCGCAAACCTTTCCTCCCTTTGCTTTGCTTAGGGAAGCCGCCGCAGGATGTGTCGCGCGCTGCGGTGGTCCTGTGCGGAAGGCATAACTGTCGTGCGAATCGCCCTACACCCATACAATGCGTTCGACGGGGCCAGCGCCGCGTAGTGCAATCACACACCTGCGCGCTTGCCCTACCGTGGGCTGCAGCGTGCAGGGACCCTGCCTCGCAAAGCCGCGTAGTCCCTGATTTAGCTACTCTTCCTTCTTCTTTCTCAGCTTATTAGCTGTCTTGCTTCCAAATTTGTAAGCTTTTCCTGTCCAAAACTCTACTTTGGTGCCTCTTTTGAGATCTCTCAAAGTATCATCGCGCGGACGGAAGACAAAACGGAGGTATGAGGTCTTTCAAAGAAAATTTGCTTAAATGATTTCGTTTGAGAATTCTGATTACGACTTGTGCTCTTCCTCCTTACAACTAAAGGTTATATCGTAAGGTGTAATCGTGTATCGTGCAGGTTAAGAGAACATTTTGATTGAACAGCACGTTGGCACTGTTCAGTCGAACCTAAACGATATACGGTTATGTCCGTTGGAACACAAGTCGATATAGTGAATCATGACATCCGGAATCAGCCTTCCGAAGAAGGCCTGGACGAAGTGAAAGAAGTCATGAAGAAAGACGCTCGAGAAATTGATGCGCGTAGATGTGACTCGCGCGTAGATGTGACTGCGCTACGCAGCGCTGGCCTCGTTAAACGCATTGTAGACGCTATGCTGATACCGAATACTGGGTGGCCTTGCCTCATTCAAGCTGGGTTCATACTGATCTGTAAGTACCGGAACATTCCCAGCACAGCGCGCGAAATGTGCGCTGTGCTGGAAGTGTTCCGGAACTTACGGATCAGTATGAACCCAGCTTCAACGACAGTTTTTACGAGATCAACCATCTCAAGCAATGTGCATTTTCGACAGGGGACTTTGCTGAGTTGAATGTTTCCCAGCCAATCTCGATATTTATTTTATCATTCCATTCACGTTAAACCTTGGTCAGTCTCCAATTCATCACCAGCATAGTAGGCCGTCTGATAAATTTTGTCGGTCTTTGCGCTCCTCACTGCTCATATCGGCGAGCTTTTAAGCATAGACCATCAAGCATAAAAACATTTGGTAATCTGTATGGCCGGTAAGTATTGCATAGATAGTCATTCTGACAAGCGCTCAATGGTTAAAGATCAATTGCAGGAAATAGCTTGCTACTAAATCACAGCCTGACTTGGACGCAATATGGTGTGTTTGAGGCAAGTAACACCAAGATTGATCCAACAAGCTTTCAGGCTGTTGTGTATCATCGTCTAACTTGATTTGGTTAACAATAATTTTCTTCATATTCACCGTTATCTCATGCATGTTTTGTTGCGCAGTATTGGCTTTTGTGCGTTGGGTAGGTTCCATGCTCATAATTGATCAGCTGCACAGTTAGTCTGCTGCTGTATTGCGCTAACGAGTAGCCAGTGCATCATACAATCTTCGCCGAGGCTAGCAATGTTTTACTATCACCAAAACTGCACTCTTTATTTTGTTAAACACCACATGGACAGGCATAAATTTTTAGTGGAGCAAACCGATCGCGGCAGAGCAGCCAGCGTTTTAAGCAAATCATACTGATGGCTAAGGGTGCCATATTCTACTATCGGCTTATGCCACGCAAGGATCAAACTCGTCCACTAGGTATAGTCGTCCTCACCCCAAGAATCGGTCGGTGGTCGAATTCAAGTTCAAACTGGAGCAGGCTGACCGCGGCAGAGCGCGGCAGACGCCGCCCCTCAGCCAACCGCTTGCACGAGGTTTTTTCTTATTTTCTTCGTGTTTTTTGCTATCTCTCGTATTGCGGCAATGTCTTAATTAGAGTTCTAGGTTTCGATTCAGCTAACTATTATTTTGTGCAGTTGTGCTCGTTTGTTTTATATTTTTTCTCCAGGTAAACCGGGAAGAAGGATGCGAATGGAGATTTTTGAATGAAAAATCTCTTTTCCGGTAACTGACATATACACAAATGTGATTTGATGAACTTTGTCAACTTCAGAATATGTACTCTAGACTCTTTTTTTGCGGTAAGGTTGAAATTCTCTCAAAAAGTGTTTGTTTCAAAGAGTTAGCGGTACGAAATCTGAAAGTCTGGTTAAGAACATTGCCGCAATACTAAAGATAGCGAAGAAACACGAAGAAATTGAGAAAAAAGCTCGCGCAAGCGGTTGGCTGGAGGGCGGCGTCTGCCGCGCTCTGCCGCGCTCTGCCGCGGGCAGCCTGCTTCAGTTCGAATTCAAATTCGACCATTGACCGACTAGTGGGGTGAGGACGACTATATCTACTACTATAAAAACAACATACTCCTCCATGTCAACTGCGATAATTTGCTTTGAAACATTCGGAGTAATGCTGACCATCGAGTATGAAATGTGAATCACTAGAAAAGCGGCGTATCATTGGTAATCCCAGCGGATGGAACCTTAGGGTAAAAGCATATTACATCCTCGAGCAAGAGTTTGATTTAGTTTAACCAAGAAAGGATACACACTTGAAGCCTTGCAGTAAAGTGACTTTCTATTTTTTGGGATTGAGTTCAGGGCTTGCAGCTCGTCATCACAAACAGATCGTGACTTTGTAAGCTAACAAAGTCAAAAGCACTATGACATGCAGATTTTGAAAGAACTACCGAGGATCCGTTCGTGTACATGATGAACCTATATGCGCACGTCATATGCTGAAAATGGCCTCAAACCTTTGCTTCAACTTGATTTCACAACTTCGCGACAGACAAACTTTTACATGAGCAGAAATAGACGTTTTTAGTGAGTCATCATAGTAGGACGCTGGATTAATTGATAAGATATCTGTGATAGTAGGGTCTAACAAGGAAAGCTTACTTACCCGGGCTCTTAAAGAAGATTTATACCAGTGCGTCACCTCCGCTTCGCAAAGGTTCGCACTGGCTTTACTTACTTTTTCGGCTGAAGTCAATGTTTTCGGATTTACCTGTTACACAAATCCACGACAGTGAAAGAGTCCAATTACTGACCCATTTTGGCGGGCCAAAGTCGCGTGGATTTATTTGACGCACAGTTTTCAAAGGTTCCGCTTAATGGATCGCTTTGTGCTTTTGTACAGCTTAAATGCACGCTGATAGAGTGCTATGATAAATCTAGCTTAGCACGTTGGGTGCAGCTCTCTATATGAGTTTTGTGACAGACAGACAGACAGACGCTTAACGCTTTATTATAAGTCATGATACTAGCTAGCATTCCCGGCCAGGGTCCGGCACGAATCGGTTTCCAGGGTTTCTGAAAACGAAGTCTCCCCTGACTTTCGGAAGTTTTACGAAGTCCCCTTTGACCTACCTATTTAGGAGAAGATGAAAACAAAAAGATTTTACTAGTCTGAGAGAGAGTGAGATAAGAGTGAAAATACAAATTGGAGCTGAGTACTACGCATGCGAAGAGTTTGGCATTGGAGCGCGATATCTATACAAAGCGAGTGGACGTCAGGCAGGAGGCAGCAAAGGCTGGCCGCATTTGCTTCTGGAGGCGCCTGGAGAGCTACAGACTTCCTCGCGCCTCTAATCATTCTTCGCACCTTTGATAAATTTACAAGCAAGAAAATCAAACAGAAAGGTTCTTGAAGGATTTTTCACTTCGATCAAATTAAAAATCTTGCAGTTTCTTTGAATCTCGGACATGATCGGTTCCAGTCTATAGAATATCGGATTCAGAGCAGTTTCCTTCAGAATTCGTGGTACAGAAAGGAATAAGACTGCCGCCAAGTGAAGGAACGTGGCTATCAGTCTCTGAATTCCTTGTTTTCGGCCGAAATTATTAAGACGAGAAAATTACAAGAAATGCTCAACATTTCGGCTTGAAGATTTGATAGACCAATTAATACTTTGATATCTACTCAAAATTCTGATTTTCATACCGCCTTCGGTGTTGTACTGGGCTAATTCTATAAACCTTCTTTGGAACTTACTATTTCATTCGCTTCACATAAGAAACATAAAACCTGTATCCTGCCTATCTACCACACGCATAGGTTCTATCAGATAGATACTTAGAGGTGCGAAGAAGTAATTAGAAGCGCGAGGAACTCTGAAGCTCCTCAGGTACTTCCATAAGCAGAAGCGGCAGGCCTTTGCTGCCTCCTGCCCGACCGCCCAAAGCGAGTTATGAAGAAATTAAAGCAAAAACAAAGCAAAGGTAATGATATGAAAATGTTTTGATGCTTAGGGATAGATTTTTGATCATGGAATCCGTCCATGATAGAAAAATCCAAAACTTATGTGAAATGGCAGAATTATATGCTCCAGACGATCTCAGATGGTCTGGTGACCGTCTGGAGACGGACTAATTTTGGAAAACGTAATACTTCGCATAAGTTTTCAAATCTTTTTGCATAAATCTTTTGCAAATATGTTTCTAAGTATGCCGTCCAATTTTGGTTTCATATGATTCTGTGTGCGCTGTTAATGAGCAATTCGTTTATTTTAGCCTTGTTTTCAAATCGCGCGCACTTTTCGCCTTACTTGATAGAGCATGTCAATCGCGTGATAGCCTGTCCGAAAGGCTTGTTTCGAATAAATGGAGCTTATTCTTCTTGCTCGGCCCCGACTCGTCAAAAACGATATCTCCTTTGCTTTTCGCTTCAAAAACGAAGTTCAGTCTGTCTCCAGACGATCTGTGCCGGGCCCTTCCCGGCCTTACCCGAGCGTTGTCTCAGTTAACGCATACTGCGTTGTAACCTTGGAGCGGGCTCACCTCCTACAGCCTTGTGCCGCCGCATCCATTACTGCGAAGCGAGAATGAACCCTCCCTCCAATATTTATGCTAGAGTGTTTGGTAGCAAATGAAAGGATTCATATTTTTTGCAAAACGAAATATAAATCAATCAGTAAATTGGCCCAACAAATCGCTGCAAAAAGTAGCCCATCATCTGCGCAGGCGAGAACATATGTGTGCAAGGTTTCGGCTAAATCGGTTGAGCGGGGCGCATTTCTATAACACACATACCCTTGGAACTGACCAATTTGATTTTTATCAATATCGAGGTACTAGCTGGCATGCCCGGCTTCGCCCGCATCGAAGATTCAATTCAACCAAGAGCAAGACTGGCGCACAACTTTTACAGCTCAACCCACTGCGAGGCTTTCTTCGTCTCCTCGTGCGAACAGGGTAAATTTCATAATCGCATCTCTTTAAAGCCAGTGTCCAAGAAAAAAGTCAATTTTGAGATTTTGTGCTTACCCGGGCCTATTCGCCATGCCGAATCCGATAAACCAGAATGGAGAGTGCGGAAACGCCAAAAAAGGCCCTAACGCAGGAGAGAAATCGCAGATGGGCGGGGCCGTTCGCACCGTGATGTCACTCTCCCAGACTTTAGGAGCGATCTTCTCTATTCCTATTTTATGTCATGCGTTTCGCGTTGGCTGATGATCATGTTAGGACGACTAGCGGAAGCAAGAAGATCGCTCCTATAGCTGAGAGAGTGCACCACTATGTGAACAGCCCCGCCCACCTGCAATATCCCTCCTCCGTTAGAGCCTTTTCCGCCGTTTTCGCGCTCTTCAGTGTTGATTTTGGGATTCAGCATAGCATATAGGCCCAGGTAAGCACAGAATCTCGAAATCGACTTTTTGCTTGGACACTGGCTCTAAATATCCGCTCTTCCTCATCGTGGAATGAAAATGTGTTCTACATCCATTGTTTGAACGGAAGTGAGAAGCGGTTTGATATCAATTGAAAAGGTTCATTTTTCTTTAAAATCGATAAATCAATATAAGGAGAAGGAATTTCGCCGCGAAAAGTAGCCTACGGGGTGTGCCGATGTCGAAAATGTATGTGTGCGAAGTTTCACGCTGATTGGTCTACACGCAAAAGTTTCTATAAAGAACACACTAAATAGCAGTTTGCCGGCACTCAGCTTTATATACGTGCCAGTGCGTCGCCTCTGCTTCGCAGAGTCGCACTGGTCCTACTACAATGCCTCACTCATTCTCGCCCAATGATGGCATTGAAACTTACCGGGCATTGCCATTCTAAGTGCTTTTTCGTGCAAAATCGGTGATTTCGCGTGAATGAAACCTTTCGCAGACGAAAAAACGCAAATTTGAATAGGTTCTTGAATTTTCTTGGCTTGATAGTCGCCATAAGGACAATAATCGCCATGAGCTACATCCCCATGCAAAAATATTCTCAAATGTTCAGGTAAAACCCTTAGCAATTTGATCATTTGCGCAAGCATTTCTTTTTGGCGTCGTTTTCGTGAAGTACTGAACTTCTGATCGCTTTTTTGGACCAAAGTACATAGCTTGCACATTAGCATGCCAAACGTATCCACGACTTTGCAAAAAGTGGTGATACGGACAATATTTTGTGGGCCAGAAGTGGTTCCGCTTGAGGTACAGTTTCTGAGGGATCCACCCAACAAAACCGCTCGTGCTTTTGCATGGTGGGCTTCTATGCTGGTGGCATGTGCTATGCAAAATTTGGGCCCAGGACGATGGCTGGAACTCGCTCTATCAATTTCGTTACACACACACACCACACACACACACACACACACACACACACACACACACACACACACACACACACACACACACACACACACACACACACACACACACACACACACACACACACACACACACACACACACACACACACACACACACACACACACACACACACACACACACACACACACACACACACACACACACACACACACACACACACACACACACACACACACACACACACACATACACACACACACATACACACACACACATACACACACACACACACACACACAGACACACACAGACACACACAGACACACACAGACACACAGACACACACACAGACACACACAGACACACAGACACACAGACACACAGACACACAGACACACAGACACACACAGACACACAGACACACAGACACACACAGACACACAGACACACAGACACACACACACACACACACACAAATTACAAAGACTTTCCTGTATGCGCAATTGTGCTCGGGCTCTGCATTTTTTTCGCGACTGCTGTCTCACCACTTTCCCACGCTTATTAGCGATTGAAGCCCGGCTCTACCACGCTCTGTGGAGGCAGAAATGAAATCGGTCCTTATATGAATGCTTCAAAGGGCTTGTCTCTAAAGCATATACTGAAGCAAAGAACAAAATGATTTCAACAACATCTTGAATAGTCTGTTCATCTAAGGAAGTTGCAGGGTTTTAAGCCTTTGAAAATCGGCTGCACTCCCTCTCATCAAGTGAAGTGGAGTAGAATTTCCGCTTAATATAGTGTGCTTGCACTGTAGGTGAAATGCGATAAAATTTGCGCCTGAAGAAATAGCTACGCCTGTGACGCCTTCCATCTGCGCTCGCAGAATGCCGGCATTATTGGCTTGGCTAATTTTTTACGCGCGAATTTTACAGCATTTTACCTGCAGTGCAAGCACACTGCTATATTAAGCGGAAAATCTACTCAACTATATTTTCTTGTAATCTCAATAAACTACATGTTTTACAAGTAGAGGACAAGAGTTCCGATGCACTTTCAACCGTGTCGTTGCTTTCATCTACAGAAGCCAGAATTCATTTAAGAACGAAATTCGTGGGCACCCGGTAAAAACCAAATGATCTCTTCAGAATGGGCAACAAAGTCAAAATTTTCACGGACTTTGAGGGAGCGTCTGCGATCGTACATACTAGGCTATAAAGGGAGTTGAATGGGTGTCGAAGCACTTTTTTATTAGCTTGAAGGGAAGAACCGAACACTTACCAACTTTCAAATTTAGATACAGGCGGAGCGTTGCAGACAAGGATAACACTAGTAAACTTGTTGAACCTCCATGTTGGAACATTGCTTTTTTGACTTTCTTCATCAAAAAAAAGATGCCACGTCCCTCATCTTGATGTTACCAATAGCTACACTGGCGGAGTGTTCGTTGTTATAGCTTTGATTAATTTTGAGACATTTCCTTCAACTAATTTTTCGTATAAAATCTTTGATCTCGCGAGCGAAAAGGACCGTTGATCCAAATAATAACAGCAATCACTTCTTCAGATAAATTCGAAATCTAGCATATTGTTTCACATGTCGATTTTCTCCTGTAAACCCTTCTTACCAAATTATGTGCTGCCATGATCTATCAGGACTGAATATACATAGAAGAATGTCGTTCTAGATGTACAGACGTAGGATTCGCAGTAAATCGGAAAGCTTGCAAAAGCGTTATGAGCAGGAAGGAAAATCAAGGAAAGAGCTTGAATTCAAGTTGAAAGAAATAGCAATGAGACGTAAGGCAGAGAAGAATTTGCTCTGTTTTACTATCTGATATTCTAAGCAACACATGGGCATCATCATCATCTACTGGAACGTCCAAAGGATTCAGAAAGCAAAGATTCATCGCTGGTCAGTAGAATTTCATACTCCTTTTTATAGAAGTGCAAAGGCGCATGTAATTTTAAACAAACGCTTAAGTGTTATATCTCGATTATGAAGTATGCACCCTTTGATTAATTACTGCAACTTGAACTGATATCAAGTGCGAGTTTTTAGCAACAATTTGCATTGAGCAAAAGTAACATTGCTAACCATCAGAAGTTTTTGACAAACATTACACAAAATACTGCGTACTTCTCTATTCCGAAAGCTCCGTGAGTGAATTGAACATGAGCCTGGAAGCTTGCGTAGTATTGTTTCATTTTCAGAGTTGCAACACAGAAGTACAAGCTGTTTACGGGAAACACTCCACTGACCTCGAAAACATCATCAGAATTGTCTCCCACACAAGGACTCCGCCTCTTCACAGGAACAACACCGTTACCTTCTAGTAGAGCCGAACCTACTCGACCTAGTACAACTTATCTTACTGCTGGAACAAAAACAATTCCTTTGTCGGTTTCGTCAAGCACTGGAATTTACGCGCGTTCCTCTTCGCCTTCTACTAAAGTGGTAAGCAATGAATTTTATTGGACTCAGAGTGTCAGCCTCAGCAAAGAACTTTGTAGGAAGCAATCCACATGGAACCACGTGACGTGGCTGCCACCACTCACGCAATTGCTATGGGGAGATTGCAAAAGGAAGAGACTCGCCCTCCCTTCCCGAGCATTGTGCTTTTGAATAAAGATGAAAGACCACGTGGTCAGTGCCCTTTGGGTGAGTACCTAGTCACCAACTCAACAATTTACGCCACGGAAGCACTATTATCATCTTTTCAAAATATATGCAAAATTATCGGGTGCAACCGTGTCACTATCCAGAACTTTTTCGAAAGCTTATATGCCTTCATGTTTTAAGTACTTGTCAGTGAGAAAAGTACACACAGAAAATGTGAAGCTATGCAGTTATCATTGCTTCGTTTCAATTACAGGCAAACATAATTGATTGTAGTTAAGGATATTGCGCATGATGCACTATTGCTGATTGGACTTTTGCCGTAATCAAAATTGGGAAGGAATTATCGACAGAGACCGAAAATCTTTCTGCATCACAAGAACTTATCAAGTTCACAAACAGTTGCAGACAGTCACTTTCGTATAAGCTTTTATTTCGTAAATGCACTTGTATCTCAAATACTCTGATATGAGCAAACAAGTGAACTCCATCGCAGAGCGCTTTTTGTTTGCAAAAATGTCAATCTTCACTTTCAACTCGAGTTCTTTGGAATTTGTGACGTTGATAATTCCATTTTGATTTTTGGCGGAATGGTTAGTAAATTTGCCTTTCCTACTTAAAAATTTTTCTTGACGTATTTCACAAGGCTTGGATGTCTAGAAAGTGGAAGTGTTTTCAATATATCATACTATTGCCAATCATAGGTGCCATAGGCCGAGCAATTTCTCTGCCCTCCTTCACTTTCGGGCCGGCATTTGGATGACACCCTTCCTGAGGTTGTTCCCAGAGTCAAGGCTTAACGGCAGAATAAAATATCTATGATAAATGATGCACATTTTTTTAGGACTGTCAGCTGCTCTTTTTTTAGTCAGTGCAGGACATGCATTTTTACAGCGTTTGCTGAGAAAAACGCAAGTGACCCCCTGTCTCACTCAAAGCTTTAGTTTGATGGGAAATAAACCTAAAAAAATTAGGGGCGCCTGATTCTTTGAACAAGAGCATTGTTCAGTAGATATACATTGTCGCAGGGAAGAATTATGCAAGAGCAGGAAGTCTGGTCTGCCCAATGATGGGCGCATGTTCACTGAGAAAAATCGAATTATATCTTCTTTCATTGAAGAACATGATAGAAAGTAAGGAAGCAGTTGAATTCCCTACTTCCAGAGCTTTTCACTCACATGCGAAGTCTCAAAATACCTCTCGTTACGAAAATAAAGGGTATAATTCACAAGATTAGCTGACATCATAGCTAAACAAAATTGCTCATATCTTGCTTCGCAGAACAGCTACCAAAAAGAGACGGTCTTGTCGATTTTTAGTGCTCTCAGCTACTGCGGTGCATAAAACCTTCGCGCCGAAAAAAAGTCTTGTTCCGGCGTAACTGATGCTACAGCTAGATAAAAAAATTTTAGAGCTGGAGAAAAAGAGACGATTCTGCAGGCTCGAATGGCATGTCGATCGATGGGGTATTAGCTTTTCCAAATCAAAAAGTCTCAGTTCGATGACCTTTCAAAATCAAAGCATAGAAAAATTCTTTATATTACAATTTTGTACCACTTTTTCTCTCTCTGCACACCCAGTCCATTCGGCATGCAAGCTTACGTTAGCATGCACCTCAAGGCTCACTTATCCCATCACTTTTCTGGTCGTAATTAACCAAAACCCCCTTCACCTGGAGAGGGCCGTGCTCCCCCTATCGCACCTATGCCGCCAATAGACATTCCTGTTCATGAAACTTTCATAATATTGAATAAATGGCCAAATTCCTTTGCGGCTCACTGCAATTCGCGTTTCATGCCTGGATTAAGCAAACCCACGAAAATTGGGTTCCAAAACTCACAAGTTCTGGGTTACCTGTTTTGTGAATAGCTGTGTGGTAAACTTACTGAAGCTTTCATAAATACCGATGTAGCGTGTGATTTAACCTACTCTACCTGCCTACTAACACATTAGATTGGTCAGTGACGTGGAATAAGCTTACCCACTGAAGGGCTTGCTCGCTAGGTTTTCTTGATGGATGCGGCTAGAGAAATATAGAAATGGCTGGACTCATTTCGGGTTAGAGTTAACGCACCCATTTTTTGTCTAATTTGCTTCAGCTTCCCATTAACGTAATAATATGATCAGAATGTACTCTTACTGGCATGTAAGAGGTTCAGTTTGCGATTATCGCATAATTCAAGACATGGGTAGCAGTCTGCCATGAAAAGTCATCGGAAACGAAAATAAAAACTTTACTGAAAATATCTGCAATCTGTTCTATTCTCTTGCTTAGTAGTTCTTGCATGGATTCCAAAGTGGTAGCGCGCGAAGCAGGCGCCAAAAGCCAACCGAGAACAGGAACACCGCAGATAGCGATGTCTACATCTTTTTTTTTCAATTCCAAGCTCAAAACATGCAGCACTACGCATCCTATAGCAATAATTTGATCATTGCTAGGGGTGTTCGAACAAAAAAAGCAGCCAGTGGGGATAGTCACTTTACTCAAATATCGTTACCGTATGTGGAGGTTCAAGTCAAGAAGTTGATTATATGAATAGTCCATTTACCGGGATAAGAGCGTTTTGATTTATGAATACTAGCCCTTCGAAACTCTATACGTTTGAACTTCCTCGACGATAAACAATTGACAAGAAATACTTCGCATAGGCTTTGTTTTGAGAGCCCGAGGTTACCGAATTTTAGAAAAGGCTTTTGTGATACCGAGTCGAAGTGAGACTTTGGTATCATCAGGCGACAAAAGATCAACCACAGGAAGCGTTCATACAAGCAGCAAGGAGCCTGTAGAAAAAAGTCCGGTACCCTCAAGAACTGCTATTACTGCTCATGGTTATGTGCTGCATTCGCTTATGAACGAGCTAAGCGCAAGTCCAGTGGTGAGTAAAATGATGAACTTCTGATTCAATCTCATCCAGCCGTTAGGTGTCAAATGAAAAAATGGACAACGTGCCTTCTGACATCATCGAAAGAAAGTGAGTGTTTTTGGTCTAGAGGGTTGAATAGATAATACTCGGCAGATATAAATGCCTGGTCACCCTATTTATTGCAGAGTTATAAGACTGAGGAGGTCAAGTGATGAGGCTTCTCCGAAAGATGATGAAAAGAAGCGAAAGAGGAAGCGTAAATCAACGAGGGAACAACCGCCTAATGTGCCAGGTGATAATAGATTTGTGACATATATTTCAAGCTTTCCACATTATCTAGGTTCAGAAGTCAATCCTCCTCCGCCAGCATCAGCATTCTTTCCTTACTGGAGCGGATTTAGACAGACAATTGCGAAAATTGAACCGGTAAGAAAGTTTGATGCTTGACAAGGCAAAATAAATAAAAATAGATGTCCTCCACTTCGGGTAAGCCTTCTGTTTCGAAAGTTGAAACATCGGAGACAACTAAATGGGAGCCACAGAAGTCCGGTAGAAGGTAAACGCCATTGCTTTAGAATACGAAAATTTGCAAAAAGTCTTTTTCAGCCCTAAAAAGCGTAGTGCCAGCTCTCAACCTGGTAGTACGTCCAAGATTAAATCAACTCGACAATCGTCTGCATCTCTTGAGGCACCCCTGAATGTGTATGAGTTGCGGCTAAGAGCCGAAAAGGCCAAAGCTGCGCAAATTGCAAAACGGATGCAAGAGGTCGAAGTAAGTTTGAAACACCTGATCTGACTTCCAGCTATTCTGGATATTAGTTGAGCATTCTAATTTCCATTTAATATGCGGTCTTTTTGTCTTAAAAATATCCGCGCTTTTTACAAAGAAGCCTGTTCTCAGACAATTGCCGGTGTAGAACGGATTCAGGAAAAACACAGATGTATGTATATATTTTCTCGCTCCCCGCTATGTTTGTAATCTGAATAATTCCACGAGTTTTTGAGAGGGCGATCGTCATTCTGGCTTAAGAGCAGACTATCTGCAAATTTTTAGGGCGAGAACGGGTCAACAAATGGTCCCCTATAGGCTCGTGAACGTGATCTCTCTTAAAACTAAACTGAAGTGCGAAAAATAGATGAAGCGCAATCTCCGATGATGTCTACCTACGGCGATTGTCTGAGCGTTCCATACAATGGAGTTTTGCCATCAAGATCACTTTGGAGTGTAAATTCGCCATTGTAAAATGCATACCTGTATCAAGATCTCTTTGTTCTTGGAGTTACATCAAGTTTACAGAAACCAGCGGAGACTCAGGGCGGAGCGCACTTGAAAGAAAATGTACTTGATTCGAAGAGATTGCTACCATCAAGACCAGATTTTCGGCAGTCAGGTTAAAAAACATTTCACATACCGATAATTGTTTTATTGCATACATGCTCCATTTAGATGACAGACCTTTGTATTGAAAGAAGGTTTGCACCAAATTTTACAGTCTCGGTTTTCATCAGTTTAATAGATGTTGAAGTTACGATAGCTGCTCAAAAACGTTTCACAGTGTGTCGTTGTTAGTATACGAAACCTTCCGTTCACTTAGTACTCGTTTATTTTGTATTAAATATTTTAAAATAAATTTGAAAAGTAATGGAGAAGCTCGTCACACTTTCTACATAGTGATTATGTAATGGCTAGAATGGCTAACTATTTCACTGTATATCACCGTCGAGTCTGCCTAATGTAATGTATGAGGGCCTTATAATGGCCCAAGATACGTGCCGGATTAATTATGATGAAGAATGATCTGGCGATAATACAGGGTTGGGGGAAAGTCCTTGAACAATTTTTGATGTCCTTATATGTTCGGTTTTTCCATAGATGTTTGTATGTAATTATATATGTTTGCTTCTTATACTCTTAAGTACAAACCCTCAAAAAAATGGACCATTAGCTTTTTTCCTATCGGAGATATGCCTTCTGGAATGGAGCGAGCGTTGGTTGAGAAGATGCACGAGGAGAGAACTGCTGACAGCAAATTGCGCGGGCTCCCCAAATTTTACAGATCAGGGTTTTTTCCACCTTGCGTCGTTTCCAGGAGATGAACAGTACCCAGAACTGTTGTATGAGTGGTAAATTGGCTACTGTGGACAGTGTCGAAATTCTGAAAATCTTTCGCCAACGCCTTCGTCGCAATCCTTGGCGAAGCTTGATTGAGCTGGCTTCATCTCTGGCAGGACACTCTCCGAGATCGTAAAAAAGGGCCTTGCGATGAAGCCTTTCAGGATGCTAAAATTTTATGCTTTTTGGGAGGACATGAAGCTGAGCTGACTGCGCAGATGCCATCGACTGCGTGAACGTCTCTCCAAGGCACGCCACCTAACGATACTCTATTCTGACCTTAAAATTTTTACCGTAAAACAGGTTTCCAATCTCCAAAACACCAGGAATCATATCCTAATCGCTCTGAGGAGCCATCAGCAGAAGTTGACTCGAAAGGAGAGCCTCATCCGGCTTTTCTGATGTTTGGATGGCGATCACTTCCGGCGGCAAGATGCCACTGATCTTAGCGCCTCAGGGCATCAAGGTGGACGCTGCTACGTAGTTGGATAGCGTTCTGAAGAAGCGACTGATGCCCTAGACCAATATCCATTTTGCAGGGAAAGATTGGTGCTTCCAGCAGGTACCGCACCTGCGCACACAGCGAAGGTCGTACAAACTTGTCTTCAAAGCAACTTTAAGCTCTTTACTACTCTTGCGAAATAGCCTCCGTTTTCGCCCAATTTGAATCCCCTCGACTATAGGGTCTGGTCATTTCTTTAGGCCAAAGCCTGCGCTCACCCACGCAAGACAGTGGAGTCTCTGCGACTTGCTGTTCAGAAGGCGTTGGAAGAAATCGACGTAAAGCACCTCCGTGCCACCATGGACAGCGTTCCCAAGCGTTTCCAAGCTTGTGCTCGTGTCAAAGGAGGAATTTTCGAATTGTAAAGCCAGTTTTGTGTAGCAGACAGTTAAGTAAACATTACCTATTGATTTCATGTAATTATCTTGCCTAGCTTCATCATTACGCTAAAAATACCGTGTTCAAAGACTTTCCCCCAACCCTGTATAAGCTCATTCCGAAAGTAATTTCGCTTTTCTTCAAACGGGCGCCACATCTGATGGAATAAGGGTTTCTAGGAGATCTTGAAAGCATTCGATGCAGCATTTCATTCTCTTTCTAATGGTTATGAATTTGTTGCAAAACAATCAATGAGCTTTTGGAGAATTGCGGAAGTCTCCAATCCATGCTTTTTGAGATGCTCAAGTTTCACAATTTTTCTAAATTTGTACATTAATCCTCCGAAGGATTTCAAGTAGCAGTTCGATAGAGCAAACCCTACAGGATACAAAACCATTTTTCTTGTTCACATAACTAGCTCATCAAAATTTTTTAATAGAATTTTGATTGATGCTACCAAGTTCCATTCTTGGCCAATTCAAACATCGTAGAACATCAAAAGGCAAGCAGCTCGAGTGTCATTCGAGCAGCTTGTTCTTTTTTCTAACGAATGCTTTTCGTTTCTCCTTCATGGAGTTTTTGCGTGTAAAAGCATCACAATTCATATTTTCGAACGCGTTCCGGGCTGTACCCGGAAAAATCGAAATTAGATATTTCAATTCCTTAAACTCTCACTCGCTTTGCAACATTAGTGTTCAATCATAATTCCATTGGGAGTTTCAAATTCCGAAGATTTATTGGTGTTTGATGCGAATGCTACTGACGAATGTCGTAAGCCTGTCAAAATTTGATGGTTCCAAAAATAAATCTTTTAAGAAATTATGGCGAGATATAAAAACGAGAAAAAAGTTATTCTATTCCATGTCCTATGAGGTTTGCTCTATCGAATCTTTACCTGAACTCCTTCGGAAAATTGATGTAAAAATTTAGAAAAATGATGAAAGTTGAGCATCTTGAAAAGCATGGGTCGCAGACTTTCGTAATTTTTCATAAATTCATTGAATGTACCGCAATATTTTTACAACCCTTAGAAAGAGGATGAAATTCTGCATCGAATGCTGCCAAGATCTTATAGGAATCTTTGTTCCATCACATGTGGCTTCCGTTTGAAAAAGGCGAAATTACTTTCGGAATGACCTTAATATCAAAATTTCACTCTTCATCCTCATTTATGTATTCACCTGTTAAGCATTGAAGGAAATGATGGGCCAACGTTTGTGCTCAAACTAGTCAAAATATTTCATTCACCTATTTGAACGCGCTTTGACTACCATGACTATTCAATACAAAACTACGGTCGGTAACTTTACGGGGAGTTACATTCATTCTGGCCTGCTACTTGCCATAAGGGAAAACACTGCCGCGCGCTATAGTAAGAAAAAATTTCATCTTGTTGTTGGGAGAAACTCTGACAACGCGCCAGTCTAAGTGTTGCAGTCGGCTCTGCTCGGGTCCTCGTGAGCCGCCTCGCTTGAACCATTCGACGCGTTCGCGAACGTGTCGCAGACAATCTTCCATGCTCGGCATCCATTGATGTCTAAGAACATGGAATTTTCCGCGCCTCAAGAGACATATTAGGTTGTTATTAGCTTGTTTCATAATTTCCTACCATTCTTATTAACCAACAGAACCACCAATTTTAGTAAACTAGCTGATGGCCCCGGTCTCACCCGAGACTCTTAGTTTAACTAATATGTCATCGGCTCACAGATTCGTGCAGAAGCGGGTTGCGAACTTCCCTGATCTTCAGGATAGACTTGTTAAAGCTCCTATAGCACTGTATTTCGCACTCCCTCTCTCGCTGAGCTTATCCTTGAAATCAGTGAAGTCGGCAGCCCGCCTCCACACGAATCTGGAATTCGATCATACTTACACTTTCTAACTTCTACAGCGCGCGAGAAGCGCTTTGAGACGAAACCGCTGCATCCTGTCGACCTTAAGAGTAGAATGAACTTTACCACCCTTGCTTACATGTTTATTGAAAAATGAATGGTTAGAGCACGTCAGACTTTCATTTTCCCAAATTTAAGTAAACAAATCAATAAATTAATAGAAGGATCCTGCGAATCGCCGTGAAAAGTAGCTATAAACCACCGCCGGGGTCGAAAACATATGTGTGCGAAGTTTCAGCTCAATCGGTTCATTGGCTGGCGTTTCTATAACGAACGAACAATTAAACGAACATCCTCACAGACATTGAGTTTTATATATATATATAGATTAGTCAGTGATATACTCCTCGATGTAGCGCACGACCTTTTTTCACATTCCTGTCAGCTTCCCAGTCTAATTTTTTTGAACGGCAGCTGGTTGGATCGCGAGAGATTCATTTAACCAACACCCAAATTACTTGAAATATCGAGACATGAACCGTTAATAAGGTTTGCGATGTTTGCCAGTGAGCTCATTCGTCATGCAGAAAAACTCACTTGATCTGTCTATTCAGCTTTTTCTGCTGTGTGGGACCTGGTTCAAACGGTGCAGTGGGATTGCTTATGATATGGTCGACCGTCTCTCTCTTGTCCAGCAATTTTCAGCGCAATAATCCTGGCCGTCCCCCGAAAAGTCCTGTTCAGGGATACTCTGCTCAGCCCCTAGTAATTTGAGCAAACCCTTTTTTGTCTCATGCTAATGTGCGAAGGCCGTGTTCTATGATCGGTAAAAAATCTAAAGTTTAATTTTACAACAAAATGCGCAGATATCGAATTTGCTCTTTTTTGCCTTTTAAGATTTCCATACTTGGAAGCTAAGAAATCCGAATAAATTAGCTTTCCACCGAAAGTAGTAGATACTTATTGAAGAGCCCTACGCATCTTGCCGCAAATCCACCGCCGCTCAGAGGAGTATGAAAATGAAAACGCTACGAACTTATGAAATGGCCTAATACATCTCACTGTTTTATTTCTTGCAATTCCAGACACAATCTTTACTCCAGTCGTCACACACACAATCTTTACTCCAGTCGAGTCCATTGCATACCGATAATCTTGCATTTCTGTTGTGGTAGTTTTCCGACGCCACTAAGGCCTCGGGCAGAGTACACGCGATTTCATCGTCGCGATTCATCGCGACAAGACATGTGTTACAAGTTCATTGCACGCCGGTCTTCTTGTATTTTCGTTGTGATAACTAATCACGATTAGTCGTAGTGGAAAACTATCACAACCTAAATGCAAGAAGATCGGCATGAATGATGTTGTTACACTTGTCTTGTGCGATGAATCGCGACGATGAAATCGCGTGAACTCTGCCCGAGCCTAATCTTGACTAACTATCATAACCGAAATGCAAAACGATCAGCATGCATTCAATTGACTTGTTGCAAAAATTGTGAGGCGATAAAAGCTTGTGGTGTATGCCCGGTCCTTCAAGAGTGGGAAACTACGGTATCGGCTGAAGCCGAACCGGATCCACTGCAAGCAACTGCAAGCATTCATTCCTTTTTGGGAACAGCTTCTGCAGTTATAAAGTTTTGCTCACTTTTTGGACTAAAGCCGATGGCTTGCAGACATAGTCCCTACAATTGCTGCTACCGCTGTCTGC